GCAGTGACCCTGCTGTGTTGCACAGCTGTCAGTGACCCAGCAGCAGTGTTGCATGGCTGTGTGTTGATGCGAGGGCAGTGACCCTGCAGTAGTACTGCAAAGCTGTGTAGTGATGTGTGTCTTTTATATGATTAGCAGGTGGTGAACGAGAGCAGCAGTAAGGAGACAGGAGTTGTATCTGTCACTGTGGCTGCACAGCCTGCTGAAGCCTCCCCGGTATGTATCTTTATCTTAATAACTCCACGAGCATCTCCTGCTTGACAGCTCCACAGCTCCACACATCTTTCTTTTATCACTCTCATGCAACTGGATCCATAGCTACAGTACAGTTGTAATTTTGTAGCTGCAGTAGGAGGTTTTTTAACTTAACTTTTTTTCTGTTTGCAAGATTATATTGTGTTTCCCCATTCTCTGTTCTGTGTTGGTCAGCAAATGAGTCAGAATCTACAAGCTGTTAAAGAAATAAAAGTATATTATCATCAATAACTTGCTGCAAAACTTGCAATTTTAGTGCTTCTGCACAAATGTGTTTTTGTAGAAGTAATTAGACTCATGCAACTAGTCAAAAAATGACCACACCCAACATCCTGTATTGCACCATGTTGTATATTATTTCAAAAAGTGAAACAATCTTTTTTAGTTTCATTTTAAGCAGCTTTGATATAAAGGAAAATATTTAATATACTCACTGCCTAACAATGACTTAGTTGTTGATATCATCTTCAGCCTGATAGAGACTCACAGCCTTCTCTGTAGACAGAATACTGTTCAGCTGTATTCTCTACTCAGTACTACTCATTCTTTCATAAAGGTTTGTATAGATGTTTCACTATCTGTGAGGTATCTGTGAGATGTTTGTCATTTTCCACATCGTTTTATCTCTGCAGCTGGTTTATTAAATTCCAGTGTGCTAACAATAATAACATAACTAGGAATCCTGCCCTTAAGAGAGTCTTTGTATGTAAATCCTTTTATTGAATAACTCATATGTTACGGCTTTGTGAATGAAGCCTTTTTGATCCTCTCTGTGTGGCAGATGGCATGGAATTTATAACAGCTTACTGAGGTAAACGATGAGTAAAGTGTTGTAAGGGCAAATAAACTCACAGGTAGTGTGCAGTGGTGAGAACCTGCAAGGTAATAAACTCTCACCAGAGGTGGCATCACAGTCTGGGCATACAGTAAGTGCTCTCTGCTCGACTGGATACCCGCCCTCATCATCATGAACACTCATGTAATAAGCATACAGTGAAAAGTATCGAGACAGTGAAGTGAAATATGTCTTTGTTTGCTTTGTGCAGCACTGAAACTTTTATTTCAGCTTTTGTTTCTGGGTATTATTTCACATAACATGTTTAGCCATGTTAGAAGAATATCATATTTGATCCCCATAGTATTTACAACATTTTATATTGTTATGGAAACTGAAAGTGGCTATCGAGGTGAATCTAGATACAATGGGCAACACCTGGCTCAGTATCAGCTTTTGAAGTTCTCAGGAGCTTCAGTGCAAGAAAGGAACTAAACTACTTACTGTAGCTGTGCCAGGTGTGAGAAATTTCAACCTTTCTTGGAACTAATCATAATAATTATTGATAGATAGTTAAGGTACGTATGTAAATAAACACATGAGGTAATTGTACCAGAGATTTCCCTTTTAAAAAGTATTTCTCCCTTTGATCGTTACCATTATAATTCACTAACCATTCAAAACTGACGGCTGACCTGCGTGAAACTCTCTCAGCAATACCGTACTTGTCAATCCAGAGTACTGCAGCGCCCATAGCCTCCACTGTGAACCGTTTCTTGACACACATGAGTGTGCTGACTGGATACTGCAGTGTCCTCTGACAGATTGCAGTGCCAGGCAGCTGCTGGAGCATCGACAGGAGATTGCTAGGGCTGTCCCCCAGGCGAACCTGTATGCGATCTGGTTGCAAAGGAAAAGAGTTCCCAGCAGATTTGCCTCGGTCACAGAGTGAGGTACCTGAATCTGGCTGACCCTGTGGGTGAGCCCAGGACACAGGGAGACCCTCAGAGCCACGTATAAGAAGGGATTTCAGTTTCAGTCCTCAAAGTGCAGGCCAGAGCTCCCAAGCCTTTGGTTTTGGCGAGGGTGGAGCTCATAGTGTCTTGCTTATTGCCCTGTGGTGTTTGTGACAGATTGCTAATCCTGCTATGGATATACTGAGCTGGTTTTCCTGGCCCAGCCATTCATCTCTTAGCATACAATTTCATTACCTTGCCTGGACATCTTTCACACTGATTGTACCTCCCACTTTAAGGCAAGAGGTTCATCGCAATATGTGATGAGGTATTTTCTGTTTGTAGCCAGCTAGAAACTCTCTCAGGGGCTTTGCATGTTCCAGTTCTGTCTCCTGACCTTGTGCTCTCCAGCCTGCATAGCTCTCTGGACATAGTGAAGCCACTCACCAGGAACTGTGGCTGTAGGCCATTGGCTGTACTGGCTATATGGTCTAGCAATGGTTACGTCATAATTCATGTAGGTATAACTAGTATACCACCAGCACACAACAGTGTCCCTGCATCCTATTTGCTCTTCTTCAATGTGGGGAACCTATTTGCTTCCCCACATTGTCAAAAAAGGAAGACATTTCTCCGTTTCCTGTCTTTTATTTAAAATGGGTTTCTGCTACCTGCATGTAACCCCCTGCTCTTGTCTCCTCCAGAGTCACAGTCTGAGCAGTGGGAAGGAGGCACCTCCCAGTCCCCAGGCAACACCCCTGGACACCAGTTCCCCTGTGAGTACACCCCCCTTTTCCAGCAGCTGCCTTTGAAAAGTCTCTCTCCGAAATGAATGACCTCATGTTATTTTGAAAGGTCATATGAGTGGATGACTCTGCAGCTACAGTACAAACCTTCTCTCTTGGCTCCTAGACTGGAAATATCAATAGTCTTACTCACTAGGCCCTCCAGTATTAAATAGTCTCACTGTATTCTCCTGGGATGTTGTTATTGAGGTTCTTTACTGTTAATTTTGTATCTAACCACAGACTTTTTTTTTAAGCTCTCTTATCTGTGCTTTAAAGAGACAGAGCTTGTTTACTCTCTGGGGAAAGTACAAGACCTTGAGTTCCAGGTTTAATGATTCATTTAAAACATATAAATAAATTGCAGAGTCCTCTAAATGGTATCAGGCCCGGTTGTCCTGGTGGTAGCCGAAAAAGTTACGGAAAGCACCCATTGACGTTTGCAGTTATTAAATTCATCTCACTTGTCATGCTTGAGAACATAAAACTCCTCACCCCTTGGTGGTGGAGGTTAAGAAACAAAAAAAAAATGTTAAGAATGCTCCAGTGAACTTGTAACATGTTTCTAAGAACAGAGCTGTGGGCCACCTGTTAATGCAGACTGCTAGTGGGTGGCCAGGCCTGGGGAACTGACTGGCTCTTGTGGGTTGTTTACAGGTGAAGACCAGCACTTTGGGGAAGGAGGCAGGGATGTCCCCACACAGCGTCACCACAGAAAACGTTACCTCAGCAACTACCACACATGTTACCAAGGTAACGACCCCCCCAGGGTTCCGAAAGGGCGCTGGGCTGTGCTGGGATGTGAACAGTCATGCCATGCCTCTCAGGTGTTCTACAGGCTGTACAGTTCCTCTGGACACTTACAGCAAGGCTCCTAAACCTTTTTTAGTCAGGAACCAGACTGAGTTTGGCAGTCAGCTTCACAGCCTCAGTTTTAAATTGACTTCCTTTTGTTGTATGTATGTTTGTTGTATGTTGTATGTACTAAATACTAATTGATTTCCGTAAAATATAATCATAGCTTAGGAAAATGGTTTCTTTATTAAGTGGTAGTGCACAATAGGTTTGCAGAAGCACGGATAGTACAAAAAAACGTTGCGACTTTCCACAAGCTTTGAAGGTACAGTAGTTCAAACCCTGGCCTGTATTTTGAAAGGCTGCGTCTTGAGTCCTGCTCTGGTTGCTGTCGGCTTCAAAGCTTCAGTTCTGTGATGGGGGGGGCGCTCAGAAACCGGCTTCACACAAGTTGGTTGGAAAAAAAATGGTAGTAAAACCTTCAAGAGCTCCATTTCCTAGGATGGCTTTTTGTTCTTTCGCTTTGATCCAGAGCGCATTTAGTGATTCTGTTTGGTTTTGAAACAGTGTCTTGTCGTTTTTGGATCTCGACGAGCTGCTCGTGAAGGCCAGCAGCGCTCAAAATGTCATCAGCCAAATCTTCCACATCGATGTCGATGGGCTGTGCGCCCAGCTGTGTTTAATCCCATCCTTCTGGATGTAGCTGTCCTTCTGGGAGTATGTTTTAATGCTGCACGTTTAACCCAGGAATGCTCCATTACCTGGAGTTATACTTGATGTCTAAAAGTAGATGTACAGTAGTACGCATTTTCCTTATACTAATTCCTTTCTACAAAAGGGAAAGTAACACTGTTGTTTTATTCTATGAATGTAAGAGAGTACTTTCATGAAGATTGTATTTCAGTTTTTAAACAATTATTTTTGAACAAAGTCGCAAAATGTTTTTTAACATTTTTTTCAGATTTTGCATTAAAAATTATTTGTGAAATAATGCCGTGTCCACTTGTAATAATGCAATATTTGTTTTCTCCACGCTGCTGAAAGGCTTACACAAAAACCCGCTTGTGTAGGAGAAACTTTCAGCTTATTAGAGAGGATCGTGACGCCTCAGTTTTGGGTTGCGCCCCGTAAGTTACAGACAGCATATGACTTACAGAGTGGGCCTAATAGATTGATTATTAGACATTAAAATCTTAGTAAAAGTAAAAAAAGAGTTTAGTAAAACACATTGAAATCTCAGTAAAGCTTGGGTGTGGTAAAGTAAATCATAAAACTGCCTGCTGCAGGCTAATGTGATGCTGTGCACATGACAAGTATTTAGACTGTGAGCAACAGGCACTGAAACTAAAGCAACAAAACAGTGCAAAATGCAGATCCTTTTTTTGTGACAGATTGGATGCACACTTTTAACCCAGTCTCCTCTCTTTCCCCAGAAAGGGGCTTCTCCTCCTACCCAATTGGAAAAACCCCTCTGTGGTTCTTGACTGTACTGCTGGGGAACTGTATTGACTTAATCCTCTGCTCTACGCGATGAAAAGCAGATCCATCAGACTGGATTGCTTCTAGCAGTCTTGTAGACTGAAGTGTGCTGTTGTGTTGCAGACTGTGAAGGGTGGATACTCGGAGACCAGGATCGAGAAGAGAATCATCATCACTGGGGATGACGATGTCGACCAAGACCAGGTGCGTTGTCCTCAGATCATACTGGCACTTCTATTGTCTATGTTTCTCTTTGATCCTATTTTTCCAGGTACATCAATAGTTTACAGTACATCGGCAAAAGAACACTCAAAATAAAGCCAAAACTCATTATTACTAGATACTAGTAAACGAACCAGTCTTGAGTCTAGATTGAAGTCAAGACCTACAGAACTAGACAGACCCTTTCACACACCTCTTCAGCCTAGAACATGTAGTTCTGTTGTGTTCTATATGTTCCCATGTGGTGGGAATTGCTGTGTTATATGTTATTAATCCTGATCATCGACTCTGAGCTCTCAGAGGAAGAACCTTTGTAGTTTAATCAGTTTAGTTATCTGTATGGAGATTGTTGGGACAGGGAAATTGTTGCTAGTTTGAACTCTATTATCATTTTTTGTGACAAACCAATTGTTTAATCGTGTAGAGCAACAGAAAAACTTCACAATGAATATGGAGCCACGATGATTGATTTGACCAGCAGATTGTCAAATAATCTTCTCCTCTCTTCTTTCTCAGGCCCTGGCCCTGGCTATACAAGAAGCCAAGCAACAGCACCCTGACATGCTGGTTACCAAGGCAGTGGTTGTCAGGGAAACACAATCCACTGCTCAAGAGAAACACAGCAAGTCAGAGGTACCCCAGACAGTGATTGTCAACCTGTGTCTGTAGTTTGTAATTCAATTCTGACAGTTTTGATGACTGATCCTTCTAGACCTCTTCTGCCTTCCTGGACCCTGTTATGACATGAGCTTTTGCAAAACATCAGTGTAATGGTTGCCTGTAAAAAAAGTGTTGAGAGTGTGTCACCCACTAAGAAGCTCCTTAGGGGGATGTTAATGATAATTTCCTGCAGCAGTAAAAGAGCACTGAGCTGTCTGAAAAGAAAATCACACCCTTTGCTATGCATAAATGAGAAATCCAAAGCTTTTGGAGCCAAATAACCCAAGCAAATCAGTATTTTGTAGAACAATTGCAGAAGAAACACTGGGCTTCACCTGTCAAGTAAAAAATCAACAAAAGGCCTGTGAAAAGATCCCTTATCATAATTTACAAGCCATTTTGACAAGGGCATAACTGATATGACTACAGCAAAATATCTCTTCTCAGCAAGATACTCCTCCCAGAATTGGACCCAGGGCCCCAGTGCTGTAAGGCAGCAATGCTGACCACTGCGCCACTTTGACACCTTCTGGTCGAACATTCATCTTTAAAAAAAGAAACGTTCACTTTAACAAAATGCATCAACGATAATATGGGACTTGTTGGAAAGGGGTGAATACGCCTGTAAGACATTTTAAGCCCTGGCAGACAGGATTTACATTTTGTATTACATTTACATTTATCTTCCTAAAAAATGCAGTTTTATAAAAAAAAAAACAGGAGTAGGTTACCATCTGTTTAGTTGCTCATGGCGTCTGGCAATGATTTGCATGAATACGCAAAGAGCGGTGAATTTTCTAATGACATTAGCAGTTGGGCTGCTCATGGGAAGTGAGTTTTTAAGGCGGTCTGTGAGTTTTTAAGGCGGTCTGTGAGTTTTTAAGGCGGTCTGTGTTCTCCCACAGTCCTGATCTCTGAACCGCCTGCTCCGGAGCCCGGGCCCCTGCTGGGAATGGGGACGGGAGGGGACCCTCGCCTGCTACTGCCCGCCAATGCCTACGAGCCCCCTGGCTGCTTCCCAGTACCAACCTCACTCGCTGGCAACGGATGAGAGAGAGAGAGAGAAAAACACACCGCACCACACCCCATCTGCTGCACGGGAGGACGACCAGAACTGCAGACGAGCTCGCGAAAGAAACTGCAATGAGAGGCCCCGCCGCACGGGGTGCCCCCACTGCTCTTCCCCCCCCTGGACTCACTCCCGCCAGCGCCGCCTGTGAGTGCAACAGCCACCCCTCTGCTGGAGCATGTTCTTCCTTTCACCTGGGGATCTTTGCTGCTTCTAGATACAACCCCCCTGACCCCACCCCAAACCCCGCCTGGACTGACCCACAAAACTAGACTTAGAAAGGTAGTCACATGCAAACTACACACACCTACAACTAACGCGTTTTAGAAAGTCTTCTGTTCTGCTTTTCAAGTGACGTCGTGTTTTTTTGTTGCACTTTGCCTAGCTTGGTTTGCCATGGGTAGGCCAAAACACTTGCTGTATTTGTCAGGCCTGAGGCCTGTGGGAAGGGAGCAGGAGCACAGAGATCGGACACAGAGTTGCTCGTGGCAACAGGTTTGAGTCCCGTTCACAGGGACTGGAGCTAGCCCTCCTTCGTCCTCCACTCCACTAAATCATAAGGGTTTTTGTGAACAGAAGGAACAACAGTTTGGACCATAAGAGCCCCTGTTTGTTACTGTATATTCACTCTTGCAGGATGGGGGTTATGTGTTTGTAATGTGATATTATCGTCATATTTGAGCACTTAGGTAAGCCCAGAATCCTTCATTTCAGTTCTGTTCTGTAGACATGTAAGGAAATGATTTATTCTTCCTCATTGCCCTGTTGACTCAACTCTGCAGGTTCCCATCCTGTGTTTGTTTAATGTCCCCTATCACTATATATCCACAACAGTCAAATCCACACACACTGTGGCCTGTGCTGCTGTCTCTCAGTCCTCCTCATGCATGGGCTTCAGAGTTCGCTGTAGTCAGGGGACAGGAAGAGGAGATAAGAGATATTTCAGTGACTTCTCCCTTCCCTTAGAGTTTTTTCAGACTTCCTCATTGATTTCTGTCGTGCTCTGTGCCAAAGTGTTCAGCCAAATCTGACACAAACACCATGAATGGTATCATTCTACCCCCAGTTTGTTTAAAACAAGTAGTATTTAGAACACAGCCCAGCCCCAAACCGCTGTAAACGAGCAAGTCGAGCACTGTTAGATAATTCAGTTTTCTTAACAACTTACACTGGAAAAGATAACTCGTGGGGAAAAAACTATCCAGTCCAAAAACAGCTTGGATGGCTTCAGTGCTGGTTTGTAAATTAATTTAAGCCAAACGACTTTTTAAAAAATCCAGACGCTGGCTTAGAATACAGGACTGTTTCCCACTGGGGAAACACATTAGCATCGTGAATAGAGGCAGAACTAGTTCAGCATCCTTGAGACCCGTGCAAAGACATGCAATTCCGTGGAACATGTGCGGCTGTGCTTCCACGCTGCCCGAGAGGGGCGGGAAGGAGGAGCAGAGAAGCAGCAGAGACGGGAGAAGCAGGAATCGAGGAGCTCCTCCGCTGTGGCAAGGCCCGATGGGAAGGTGCGTGTGTGCAGATGGACCTCGACCAGCCGGGCAGGGGCTCCATCGCCACCGTAGGCTCAGGGGCCTGTGCTCCCATACCAACAAGACACAAGGGCAGAAAATCTTTTTCTTGTACGTCGGTTGTCATTTTGGTACTTTTGGGTTTTGCCTCCTTTTTTTTTTTAAAGTTCCAATTAAAGAAAACGGGCTTGGTTCCACAAACCAATTTTAGTTTCCTACCCCTTCCCCATGCCTGCCTTCAAATGTCGCCTCCATCCCCATCGCTATGGTTGAAAAGCTAATGAATCCTGATGTAGGCTCATTACGGATTGGACATAGACAGTAAATTGGTTTTAATATATGAATTCTATTAAGTAATATTGAAATGTGAGGAGATCTTTTTCTTTTGTTGTTTTTTTTAATTTATAATGTATGAATTTGCCTGTGTATTTATGAGAATGGTGAATGTGGGGCAAGGGTTTTATCCTCCTGGAACCGAGTGCATGATCTCTTGCTGGGTGAGTACAAACACCCCAGAGGGAAGAAATGCAGCAACGAGAGGTTGATCCCAGGCAACTTTCTGTCTGCGGAACACAGTAGAGGCAATGTGATCTGTAACCGGTTTTCTCTTCCCAGCGGAACTGAGCCAACACGTTGAAGCTGAGCCGTGTCAGTCAAAGAACCCAAGAGTCCCTGCTGTTCAGGATAGTGCAGTCCAGCCTTTGAGAGCCATACCCCCACATCTGAATCTACCCAAGCAGTAGCCAAGCCCTGACAGCCAGCGAACACACAACGTTCAACACCTATTAATGCAATCCATCGATATATGTTATGTACAGCAGGTATTTCACAGAATATAAACAGTAGATCAAAGTGGCCTCTTAGCGACACTGATACAGAAAAGCTTACTTGAAGTATCCGGTTTTCTGCTACAATCACACTTACAGTGCCAAGGTCTTACAAAAATATGATTTTAGTGTGCTGTGGTTTCACAATGAATGCTCTTGGAGGAAATAAAGATACAGCTTTGCTGAACCTGTATTTGTAGCCTTCACAGCTTTACCTGGCAACATGGCTCGTTGTGGCCCAGTAGTGCATTTCTGCAGCCCCCTGGATGCGGTTGCCATGGTTTCACATCACCTCGACACCCAGTTTATCGCCTCCCTTCTTGCACTCGATTGGGGATGGGACAAAACCCTCACTGGACCACTAATGTACTTTTTCAGGAAAAAAAAATAATCCAATCCTGATCTGTCTTACCTGCTGGTGACTTTTGTTTCTTAAATATATATATATAAATATATTTTTTAAGTTCTTTTTTTGTCAGGTAATGCTGGAGTTGATGGTTGTCTGTAATGTTCATGGCACTCCGTTCCAAAGTGCAGCTTAAGTCACTGTCAGCAATGGTCCGGTCCGGCTCAGAGTGCTGGTTAGGACAAGCCTGACTGTACCAAAGCTCTGGGGTTCAGGCTCTCAGAAATGACTCCAGAACTACTTGAGAGTATCCCCTGCTTGTGATGCTGTAGAACTCCAGCGTCCGTCTCAGCGGGTGTATGGAGTGGGATGGGGAGGCAGGGAGCTTAATGAATCTCAATGTTTCAGATGTTTCAGATGTTGTCCAGAAAGAACATGACACAGCAATACCTGTTTACTTGTATCATTTAAATTAATTTAAACTTAGCATGGGCTGTTAATGTCAGTGTTTAAAACAGATTTCTTGTTAACCAGGCCAAGAGGTTTGGTATCAACTTGCAGTAGGATAGTGCTGTATCTGCTGCTGGAGTCAGACATGGATCATGCCGATACACGTCTCATTACAAGTGGGCAGTTTTAAAGAATACGTGCAGTCTGCCCCACTGGTGCAGCTGAACTCTGAAAACAGCTTGAGGAGTTTGTGCAGCACAGGTACCTGGGGCAGTATTTTACCACTGTGCATAGCCTGTCTTTATGTGGGAACTCGGCTGTGTGAAAAAATGACTTTAGTTATATACACGCAGCAGCACTCAGGAGACTCAGGCAAGTGCAAAGAGGAATCTGCAGGGGTCATGCAGACGGAGAGTCCCGTATCATTGCTGACAGCGGCCAGGCTCTGTGTGGACAGTTTTGCATTACTGCAAAGGAGCTCTGTGCACTGCAGAAAACAAAGCACTAGTGGCGTGAGCATCCCAGTCTACACCCTTGTAGCTCTGTGCACGGCTAGTAGGAGCACCTATTTACTCTGCTCCCCCAACTCTCACCCACTAAATACGTTTTTCCCCCCACCCACTCCTGTCACCCCCCCTTTGCTCTACATTGCCCCCTAGTGCTTGGTGGTGTGTGTTTGCTGTATTTGCATTCGGTCCAAGTGAATTAAATAAATACATAAATAAATGTCTCAGTGCAATTCAGTCCTGTGTTCCTGGTTTTCATTGGTTTATACATTAAATTTCCAGCCACTGTGCTTTTCTAATAAATAGAAGGAGGGACAGTGTTTACAGTATGAACAATAGCTTGACCTAAAATTGTGGAAGATTCCTTCGTGGTTTACTTTGCCAAACTTAAAATTGTCATCTTTGAAGATGTGTTCTAGCGGTGGAACGCCCCTGTAATGGCTTTGATTAGTAAGAGGCAAGATGTGCGATTTTGTATGCCAAGGAATCCTGACCCTATTGCTTCTCTCTCATGACGATAGTAACCTACAGAAATAATAAGTGCTTGT